TGTTTTTTGTATTCTACCTTCTTCTCTGTTCCGATTTAATTTCTACTCTCCTTTATATATTCATGGTGCAAAAGGAGACTCGTGCGAGGATTAAAGTCATCGCAGGTGTGTTATTCACGATTGTGTCACTCCTCAAGTATAGCAATTTTTTTTACCTGAAGAATCCAATGAAGAGTTGCATGATGTGTGTCGAGAAAGATTTTCAAAGTGTCATCAGTCCAACTGCCCGTAACACGATGCTGTTCCGCGTGAGAACCAGTAGACGTTTGTTCATTCTGTGCAGTATATTTATGTATGGTGCTGGGTTGACATATCGAACACTCATACCGTTAACAAGAGGGAAGATTGTCACTGCTCAGAACATTACCATCAGACCCTTGCCAAATCCTGCTTACTATGTAGTGTTCGATCCGCAGATCAGTCCGGCTTACGAGATTGTGTGATTAGTACAGTGTTTGGCGGGTCTTCTCAGGTACACGATCACAGTGGCAGGTTGCGGCATTGCAGCGCTTCACGATGCATATTGTGGCGCAATTGGACATATTAATGGCGCTAATGAACAACCTAACAATCGAACATGAACTTAAGGATGCGGACAAGAAGTTATCTGTCATCGTACAACATCAAATAAAAACGCGAAAGTAATAACCATTTGTTTCTGCATGCATGAACACGTACATTTTATCTCAGTTGTGTTAGTAACTGCATTTTATTTGCTGTATATATATTTGTTGTTATTATCGTATCAACTGCAGTGGTGTATTATATAAAATTTTAGCATTAATATTCTTTTGTGTATATTTTTTCATTTTGTGTATTGTTTGTGTATATTTGATAATTTTCGGAGAACAAGACTTATATTTGCCTTACAATGGCTTCCAGTTTTTTGAATATGGTGCAAGGCGTTATATATTTTTCGAGTTTTGTAGAACTCATGACGTGTACTTCCATAATATGTCTCCTAATATATTGCGTAATAATGGTATGTAAAAATCATTAAGTAGAATATATCCACGTGTATATGACGATATTATAATGATAAATAATGTAATTTACTTATGCAGGAATGGGAGAACAGCAATACTTTTGCTATGTGTATGTATTTTATTGCAGTGTTATCATTGGTTTTCAACATATTTATATATTGTTTTATTGGTGAGCAGCTCTCTGAGAAAGTAGGTATATTACGTTACGTAATGCACACTGATATATATATATATATATATATATATATTGTGACATGCCAGCCGTGGAGGCGCCCGTCTCAAGAATCCCGTACCGAATTAGCGAGAATGTTTTTCGCGTGTCGCGTCGCTAACGGTTTTTCGAGACCTTTCCGAATATCGCGTTCCGTCGAATGTTTATTGTAAAGGTCTTAGAAAAAAGCGAAGAAGCGATTTTTGCGAGCGGAGCAGATGCGAAGGTCTGCGCGTCCCGAATTTTGGGCCCCTCGGCGTCCCTTGCCGGCCACCAGGACGAGGAGCGGAGGACATCGAGGAGCGGAGGACATCGA